ACATCAGCCCCTAAAATCCAACTCAATAAAGATTCCTTCACGACAATCAACCAAAAATGCAAAAACTATACTGTTACAAATATAACACACGCTTCCTCAATTTCTGCAAGCCGCCTAATTCAAAACCACAGTCATTCAATACTCGATTAATCTAGGCGTAAAACTTGGAATGTATTATAACTAATGAACCAATAAATAATTTCAAAATGGATAAATTTGTGACCTGCTAACCAAATTTGGGATGAAATCAGCCAGCCTTTCATAGTCAGTAAGAGCGGTCCAAACGGAGTCAACATCAGCATTTACTGAAATCTCAGCCTTGATCCGGCGTTCCCTCCAAGATATGACCTCCACTTCACACTTCACCTTTCTCTCTCCCAAACCCACCACTTGTTGTTCTTCCTCTTCCCTTTTCTTGTTGTTATTTGTTGTTAATCGCCTTTTCCGATTCCCATATGAGAACTGAATTAACTTGGGCTTCCACTTTGGCGAGCCAATAATGCATTTCTTCACATACCTGTCCTGCTGTTGCGCAAGAGCAGCAACGTCTCTTTTGTAGGTTTTCAAACCGTAATGCCAAGGCTTTGAGGTGATCATGGAGGAAGAATGTACTTATGGAGTGTCTTTTTCTTTTAATTTCAAAACAAAAAATCCATGTTGAAATCTGAGTGATAATTCTTGACCACCAATATTCGGCTTTGCATTTTAATGTGGTAACTGAAATGAATGGTTGAAAACAACCCCAGAAAATAAATAAATAAATAAATAAATAAAGATTTATATAAATATTATCCGAGAAAAATAATATTTGATCCTCTTCGTTTTGCTATTTTCCAATATCTTATCTATCTATGTATAAAATGGTTTGAATTTACTAGAAATATTAAGATTTTTCCGTAAAAAAAAAAAATTATTTATTAAATACGGTGCAATAATTAGGAAAAACGGGTGGGGTCCAAGCACGTGAAGCGTACCATACGCGTGAAGCGTACCATACGATGGTAGACCTAGACGCACTTTAGTAAGGCTTTATTCTAAAATCAATTAGTGGTGGAAGTAGTCCATTAGACTTATAGGTTAGGCCTATTTTTCCTGTATAAACGATGTGGGACATCTCACAAGTGATATTCTAAAACGCCCCCTCACTTGTGAGTCTTTGACAACTCCAGTGATATATTGTAACATGCTCCCTCACTTGTGAGTCCTTCATACGAAGCCCAAGTAGACCGGGTAACGGGTACGTCATCGCAGGTCCCACGTAGGCCTGCTCTGATACTATGTAAGAATTGGGAGAAACATGTGTGGCCTCCGCACGTAAAGCGCACCATAACGAGGTGAGCCTAGATGCACCATAGTGAGGTTCCATCCTAAAACCAATTGATTGTAAGAGGGGTAGCCCACTAGACTTATAAGTTAGGCATATTTTGCCTCTATAAATAATGTGGGACAACTCACAAGTGATATTCTAATACGCCCCCTCACTTGTGAATCCTTCATACGAAGCCCAAGCCCCAAGTAGGCTGGAAGACGGGTACGTCATCGCAGGTCTTGCGTAAGCCCGCTCTGATACTAAGGTCCCGCGTAGGCCTGCTCTGATACCATGTAAGATTCAGGAGAAAACGGGTGGGACCCATGTAGGCCCACTCTGATACCAAAGCCCCACGTAGGCCTTCTCTGATACCACGTAAGAATAGGGGGAAAATGAGTGTGGTCTCATGCACGTGAAGCGAACCATAACAAGGTGAGCCTAGATGCGTCATAATGAGGTTCCTTCCCAAAACTATAGAGCCCCAATACTTTTAAGAAGACATCTCGATTTATTTAGTATTATGCATTTTATTGCATAATAATTTCTAAGCTCGACCAAGTCTCCGAGATTATTTAGACATCATCGTTTTGTTAACCTCTAAGTGAATAATTTATTTAGAAAATTTAGAATAGATAGACTATTAGAATTTCAAATTTAGATAGTTATTCGAAATTCTCCGGTTTTAATTTGATTCTTTTTGAATTGTCATTAGTCGATTTTCATATCCAATTCTCCTTAGCCTTTGAGATATATTTTCAACTTTAGAACTTGAAAATATAAGGCCAAAAATCTCAAGAAAACCGAGCCTTAGCATCATAGTTGTAAAAAAATCATCTAAAGTTCCACCCAATAAGCCTACTTAATGTCATATACAAGCTCTTTACCAAAATTTTGGTAAATCGGATGAAAAGTACTTTGCCGGAGTTGATCCACCCAGCACAACTGAGCTTTGTTCCGGGGCATCACATTACGGATAATATCGTCGTCGCCCAGGAGCTCATTCACTCCATGCGTTGTAAGAAATGAGCAAAAGGATTTATGGTCATTAAAGTTGATCTCGAAAAAGCCTATGACTACTTAAGATGGGACTTCATTGAAGAAACCATGCGCCTAGCCGGGTACCCCGAAAAGTTAGTAACGACCGTTATGGCTTGTATCAGCTCGGCTTCGATGAAGCTGCTGTGGAACGGGTCATGTGAAGAAGAGTTTCATCCTACCAGAGGGGTCCGACAAGGAGATCCTATTTCCCCATACCTCTTTGTCCTATGCATGGAGAGATTGGCGCAACTAATTGGCGTGGCCGTTGACGAGCGAAAGTGGCGACCGATTTCAGTGGGAAGAAGGACCGTTAGAGTTCCTTTTCTAATGTTCGCCGACGACCTCCTTCTATTCCTGGAGGCCACTGATGACCAGGTAGCTACCCTTAAACACGTGCTCGATCACTTCTGCTATTTCTCGGGCCTCAAGGTAAGTTCAGAAAAGACGCTCGTTTTCTTTTCAAATAATGTGAAGGCCGATGAGCGATCTCGGTTGGCAGGCCAACTCAATTTTAAGGGAACGACAGACTTGGGTAAGTACCTTGGAGTGCCAGTTATCCATGGTCGGGTGACTGATAATACGTACATGCACCTCATAGAAAAAACGGAAGCGAGATTATCCGGATGGCAGATGAAGTCATTATCGATGGCGGGTAGAGTCACTCTCACCCAATCAGCCCTGAGTACACTACCATTTTATTCTATGCAATCGGCCATGCTACCGTGCTCCATCAAGGACGGCCTTGAGCGTAGAAGTCGGGCTTTCATGTGGGGAGGCTCGTCTGATAAGAGAAAGGTTCACCTGGTCTCCTGGAAAGAGGTGTGTAAACCCAAAGACGAGGGAGGTTTGGGCATAAAACATTTACGTTTCATGAATGAAGCATTCTTAATGAAACTGGGGTAGGGATTATTATCGGGTAAAGAATCCATGTGCGTACGTGTCCTAACGGCTAAATATGGAATTACCCCCTCGACTGGCTGTGATAACTCCCGGTTCAGAAATGGATCGGGGCTAGCACGTGCCCTTCGTAAAGTGTGGCCGAATATAACGAACGGTGTAAGATGGGCTTTGGGAAACAGACAGTCAGCCCGCTTCTGGATCGATAATTGGATGGGTACCGAAGAACCATTGTTCAGTTTACTCACACAGCGGACGCCGGCCGTAAACATGGATGCGAAGGTCGCGGACTACGTGGACGAGTTCGGTAGGTAGAAGTGGAATGAGTTTCACGGCCTTCTCCCCTTGTCGGTGATCTTGCGAATAGCCGGAATCCTCCCGCCGCGAGAAGACGCTGGAGATGATCGCATGGTTTGGCGACATTCCCATGACGGGAAATTCTCTACGCATACTGCATATACAGCCCTTCTTCAACCGGCTAAGGATCCTGACTAACCGCTCTGGAAGGTTTTTTGGCGTGCTCCGGCCCCGCAATGAGTGCGGACTTTTCTTTGGCTCGCCGCCAAAGGTCATTTGTTGACTAATACGGAACGGGTGAGGCGCCATCTCGCCTCCGCGGAGGAGTGTGACGTATGTGGAGAGGTTGAGTCAGCGCTACATGTCCTACGTGACTGTCGGGCTGCCAGGAAATTTTGGTTCCTATTATTCCCGCCGGATGTGGTTAGCGAATTTTTTTCATTACCTATTAAAGCGTGGTTGAGAAAAAATCAGTTAATGGTACAGCGGGGAACTACTCTCGAGTGGGGCTGCATGTTCGCCATTGCGGTGTAGAGATTATGGTCGTGGCGGAATGATAGAATCTTTAACCAACACTCTCTGAGTAATGAAGCGAGACTGGAGGAAGTCGTCCGAAGGAAGGAAACGTATAGTCGGGTGGTTGAAGCCCACGCCCGTGTTAGGGTTAATACATATATTACCCGCTTCATCCATTGGTCCCTGCCGGGCATAGGATGGGTCAAGGTTAATTCGGATGGTGCTTTCGACAACTCTACTGGCTTGAGTAGTGCCGGAGGCTTGATTAGAGACGAGTGTGGAACATGGGTAGACAACTTTTTTATGAATATTGGCGTCTGTACTATTACAGGCGCCGAGCTTTGGGGACTCTTGCAAGGACTGCTTTTGGCATGGGAGTTGGGATACAGACGAGTTATTGCGGAGGTGGATAGCCAGTGTGTGACGAAAATGGTTAATGGTCCAGAGGATAGTTTTGGGACCCATATAGCACTGGTCAAGGCCATTCGTGATCTCTTAGCTCGGGAATGGAACGTTAAGTTGCAACACGTTCATAGGGAAGCGAACTTTTCTGCAGACCACATGGCTAGCCTAGTGGCCTTCTCTCCAGTCGGACTACATCGGATTTCGTCNCATGGCTTCAACATGATCTTATGGGGGTTTCTGATCCCCGTCGTATCTTAGCTTAGTAATTCATAGGCCTTTGGCCTCCTTCTTTGTACCAAAAAAAAAAAAGTTAAATTTTTCCCACCTAAGCATCATAAATTCGGCCATTATAGGAGTACGAAGACATGTTACTTTCTTCTTCATCATGTGAGCATATGGCATTTAAAATTATTAGATTTAGATCTAGATTGGATTTAGATCTTATGTCTCTCATGCCATGTTCTTATGTCTCTTCAAGACACTATATAAACCCCTCTTCCTTCATCATTTTGAGAAACACAAAAATCATAATTTCTTGTACTCTCTTAAGCCTCAATATAATTGCCCATTAAGCCTTAGCCTAGCCCTTCAAGCAAGCCGTAGCCGAAGCTGCACGCATCCGTTCAATAGCGTACGAGCCGTGTCCAGGAGTTGGTGAGCAATCCTTAATCTAATCTCCTTTCTTCCTTTAAGCGTGTAGGTTCCCGAAGAAGGTAAAGAGTCGATTTTACTCTTTAGTTTATATTTATTTGAAGATATAAATCTATACTTGAGGTTCGATAAAATATGATCTTAAGAGTAGAGATGAGATCAAGTATTTTTACGAGATTATTGAACTTTCGTAAAGTAATTAAATACCGTGTCTTTGAGCCTAAGTTTTAAAAATTATTTTTCCAAGTTTGGAGAAGTCCGAGTCGAGAGTTTCAAAATCTAAGAAAAAGTTTTAAGTCATGAACCTTAAGATAGAATATTCTTCAAATTGGTAAAATAGTTTACCACGTTAAGAGTTAGAAATTTTTCAAGTTGTGTTTCATTAATATAGATTCGAGGAGTCCAGCCTCGAGTTTCCACAGAAGCATCAACTTTCTTTCAGTCCGAGTATCAGATGGGGAAGTTTATGCTTTACGATATCCTTTATAATCTCTGTGTTATTTATGCTTGTTGAGTGTTTCATGAATGCTTCCGCCTATTAGACGGTGATGAAATAAAAATGCTTTCACCTATGAAATGGCGATGAGATAAGATGTAATGAGAAGGCTTCCGCCTATGAGATGGCGATGAGCTAAGATGAAATAAGAATGCTTCTGCCTATGAGACGACAATGAGCTGAGATAAATTAGTTATGCTTATGAGATGGTGATGAGCTAAGATGAAATAAGAATCCTTCCACCTATGAGACGACGATGAGCTGAGATAAATTAGTTAGTCTCCCGCCTATCAGATGGCGATGAGCTTTTATTTGTGTTACATATTAACATTCATGGTATCTGGTAATTATATCGAATATTTGTACTGGATAGGCTAAAGGTGAGCACATGGTTTTTGCTCATCCCCCACAACTACCATTTTCAGGTTAAGCAGGCGGGCGTGGGCACTGGAGGGCTGGTGGTGGTCATTACTATTTTTATTATGATGATTTTATAGCGCTTTGTAAACTTGATTATCGAGACTGAGTTGTTTTGAAGTTATTTGATATTATAAGATGTTCAATTTGAGACTAAGTAGAATATTTTTGAGCGCTCTACTTATTGTCTTACATTGAATAAGAAAGAAAGAAAGAATTAGGGAATTAGTACCCTAAGAATCCAAGTGTGAGGCTTGGGTCGCGATAAAGGGAAAGAATAGAAAAGAAAGAAAGAAGTGAAAGAGAAAGAAAAGATAGAAAGAATGTTTAGTAAGAAAGCAAGAGTAGAAAGAAAAGTTTTAGAAAGAGAATGTTTTAGAAAAGTAAGTGAAAAAGTAGTTGCCCAAGAAAAGAAAAGAGTTTTTAATTTAAAAAAGTTTAAATTATTTCTGAAAATATTAGCATTTTATAAAGAATAGAAAAAGGGGCGCTTCAGCATGGTATCAGAGCAGGTCTATGATTCTGTAGACTTGCAAAGTTTTCAAAGATAGAAAAGTTCGAAAAAGTTTTGGAAAAGTTTTAATGTATGATCATTCGCCTCTGTCGTGCCGCGCCATCTACGGAGTAAGTAAGTTTCGAGATGTTTAAGTTTTTTTTCATACACGTTATGAGATTACATGTTTGACTCTAGATGGGGCCTAGGATTTTGAGCTTTAGCTAGGTTATTGGGTGCTTAAAAGAGAAAGTTTACCCTTTTGCTAGTAAATGGCAGCAAGGGGAAGAGGAAGACGAGGCCGTGGAGGCCGGGGCTAGTTACAGCAAGATCAGGAAACCATTCCTGTACAGAACCCGACCATTCAAGTCCAGAATCAGATCCATTTTGTGTCTCAGTTACGTACTCTGGGTGCACCAGTTTTCACTGGTACGGATGGACCAGCAATGGTGGATGAATGGTTTTTGAATCTAGAATGAATTTTCGAGGTGCTGGCCTGCACAAATAAACAGAGGATCGTTTGTGCTCAATATCTGATGCTGAGGGATGCAGCTAGATGGTGGTCTACCTATTGGAGGTTCAAACTTATCGAAGAGCGCACAACTCTGACATGGAATCACATGAAGGTGATCATTACTGAGAAGTACTACCCGCTCTATAACTGCGAGCAAATGGAGGGACAATTCTGGAATGTTCAACAGGGAGGACTGATTGTAGAAGAGTATGAGTGGGAGTTCAACCACTTGAGCCAGATCGCTGAGCATTTAGTTGACACTGATGAAAAGAAGGCTCGACGATTCTTAAACGGGCTTAGAGGAACCATCAGATTTGGGCTGAGTGGTCATGGAATACTTTCCTACGTTGAGACAGTCCTGCAAGCTTCAGCAAATTGCAGTTAGTCAGGGTAGAGAAATAGACGTAGCCCTAACAGTGATGGTTCAACCGATCACTGCACAACCTGTGACAGTTCAGCCGTTGGCATCAGCATCCCCAATTGGAATTGCGGGAAAGAAAAAGTGGAATGAGAAGCGCAATCAGGCTAAGAAAAAGAGGGGTGGATTAGGCAGACGAGATGACCAACCCCAGGCTATCCAGCAAGCCACAAATGGACCGCCACAGTGTGCCAACTGTGAGTGTCTGGCAGGACAACGCATCTGCTACTGCTGCAAGAAGCCAGGAAACCTTGCTTATCAGTGCCCGGAACAAGGTCAGGAACGGCATCAACAGCAGCAGCATACCCCAAACTAGGAAGGTGGGGGACGAGCCCACGTTTTTGCACTAAACCAGCCGGAGGCCGAGACAAACCAAGGTACCATGTCCGGAATGTTACATGTTTGTAATGTACCTGTGTTTGCATTATGTGATATGAGAGCAACCCATTCATTCATTTCTTTAAGCTGTCTAGAGGCCATAGGGATCAAGGGAGTTAGTACTGTCGATGCTCTCGAGGTAAGCCTCATGTTGATCTCATGCATAGGGTAGTTCATCTCATTAGACTTCAACTGCTTCGACGCATATGCCACTACCTTCCCATGCTGCATCAACACACAACCCAAACCTAGCTTTGAAGCATCACTGTAGATTGTGAACTCTAAGGTAAGATTGGTAATGGTCAAAACAGGTGCGGTAGTGAGCCTCAACTTCAACTCCCGAAAACTTGCTTCGCACTGAGGACTCCAAACGAACTCAGCTGCCTTCTTCATTAGCTGAGTCAATGGTTGGGCTATCTTCGACAAGCCTTCGATGAAATGACGGTAATAGCCAGCTAGTCCCAAGAAACTGCGTATCTCACTTGCATTCTTCGGAACTTCCCAGTTACTTACTGCCTCGATCTTACTCGGATCAACACTTGAGGGTGTCTCCAAAACCACCCTCAAGTGTTCCGCATGTTGCTCCGCATCTCGGGATAGACCAAAATGTCATCGATGAAGACAATGACGAATTGATCCAGGTATGGATGGAACACTCGGTTCATGAGGTCCATAAAAACGGCAGCGGTATTACTCAGTCCGAATGGCATAACCACAAACTCGTAGTGTCCATACAGGGTTCGGAAAGCAGTTTTTGACACGTCGGACTCCTTGATCTTCAGTTGATGGTAGCCATACCTTAGATCTATTTTCGAGAATACAATGGCTCTCCTCAACTGGTCAAATAGGTCCTCAATCCTTGCCAACATGTACTTATTCTTCACCGTATGTCTGTTGAGCTCCCGGTAATCGATACACATATACATCGACCCATCCTTTTTTTTACAAAAAGGACCGGTGCTCCCCACGACAAAACACTTGGTCGGATGAAATCGAGCTTCAACAGTTGTTGTATCTGCGTCTTAAGCTCAGCCTTCGACACAGGACCCGCTCCCAGAATAAAGTCTATAGAGAACTTTACTTGCCTATCCGGTGGTACTCCCAGCAATTCCTCCGAAAATACCTACAAATACTCGCGAACGATTGGAACCTCCTCCGGCGGTGGCTTCTTTGCCTCACTCCCGACGATATTCACCAGGTAACCATGACTTCCCTCTTTTGAAAGCTCTTCATAGTCCTCAAGGTAGAGATGACCTTCGGCACTGCTCTCGCTCTTTCCCCGTAGAATGTGATCGTCTCGTTTCCCCCTAGATGAAGCGTCACCTCTCGGTCTAGGCAATGGATGTCTGCTCGGTATTTGGTCAGCCACTTAATCCTGAGAATGACGTCGAAGTCTCTTATTTCAATTACATAGGCGTCTACGGTCAACTCCTTCCCTCCTATACTAAGGTTTAGATTTCTTATTGAAGTCTCAGTGACTATTGACTTTCTCGAGGCTTGGCTTACCTCGAGAGCATCGACAGTACTAACTCCCTTGATCCCTATAGCCTCTAGACATCTTGCAGAAATGAATGAATGAGTTGCTCCCGTATCACATAATGCAAACACAGGTACATTACAAACACGAACATTCCGGACATGGTACCTTGGTTTGTCTCGGCCTCCAGCTGGTTTAGTGCAAAAACGTGGGCTCATCCTCCACCTTCCTGGTTCGGGGCCTGCTGCTGCTGCTGATGCCGTCCATGAGCACGTTTCGGGCACTGATAAGCAAGGTGTCCTGGCTTCTTGCAGAAGCAGTTGATGCGTTATCCTGCTAGACACTCTCCATTATGAGCACGACCACAGTTGGCATACCATGGCGGTCCATTTGGGGATTGCTGGATAGCCTGGGGTTGGTCATCTCGTCGGCCTAATCCACCCCTCTTGTTCTTAGCCTGATTTTGCTTTCTATTCCACTTTCTCTTTCCCGCAATTCCAGTTGGGGTTGCTGATGCCACCGGCTGAACTGTCACAGGTTGTGCAGTGATCGGTTGAACCATCACTAGTTGGGCTACAGCTACTTCTCTATCCTGACTAGCTGTAATCTGTTGAGCTCGCAGGACTGTCTCAGTGTAAGAAAGTATTCTATGGCCACTCAGCACAAATCTGATGTCTCCTCTGAGCCCATTTAAGATTGTTGAGCCTTCTTCTCATCAGTGTCAACTAAATGCGCAGTGAAATGGCTCAAGCGGTTGAACTCCCGCTCATACTGTTCTACAGTCAGTCCTCCCTGAACATTCCAAAAATGTCCCTACATATGCTCGTGGTAATGGAGCGGGTAGTACTTCTCAGTAATGATCACCTTCTTACGATTCCATATCAGAGATGTGCGCTCTTCGATAAGTCTGATCCTCCAATAGCTAGGTTACCATCTAGTTGTGTCCCTCAACATTTGATATAGAGCACAGACGAGCCACTGTTGATCTGTGTTGGCTAGCCCCTCGAAAACTAGTTCTAGATTCAGAAACCAGTCATCCACCGTTGCTGGTCCATTCGTACCAGTGAAAACTGGTGCACCCAGAGTACGTAACTGAAACACAAGCTGGATCTGGTTCTAGACTTGAATGGTCGGGCTCTGTACAGGAATGATTTTCTGATCCTGCTGTAACCACCCTCGGCCTCCACGACCTCCTCTTCCTCTTGTTTCCATTTACTAGTAAAAGGGTAAACTTTCTTTTTTAAGCACCCAATAACCTAGCTAAAGCTTAAAATCCTAGGTCTCATTTAGAGTCAAACATGTAATCTCATAACATGTATGAAAAAAACTTAAACATCTCGAAACTTACTTACTCCGTAGCTGGCGCGACACGACGGAGGAGAATGGTCATACTAGAACTTTTTCGGAAACTTTTTCGAACTTTTCTAACTTTGAAAACTTTGCAAGTCTACAGAATCATAGACCTGCTCTGATACGAAGCTGAATCGCCCCTTTTTCTATTCTTTATAAAATGCTAATATTTTCAGAAATAATTTGAAACTTTTCCAAATAAAAAACTCTTTTCTTTTCGTAGGCAACTACTAAATCCCTTACTTTTCTAAAACATTCTCTTTCTAAAACATTTCTTTCTACTCTTGCTCTCTTACCAAACTTTCTCTTTATCTTTTCTTTCTCTTTCACTTTTTTATTTCTTTTCTATTCTTCCTCTTTATCTCGACCCAAGCCTCACACTTGAATTCTTAGGGCACTGATTCCCTGATTCTTTCTTTCTTTCTTATTCAATTTAAGACAATAAGTAGAGCGCTCAAAAATATTATATTTCGTCTCATATTGAACATCTCATAATATCAAATAACTTCAAAACAACTTAGTCTCAATAATCAAGTTTACAAAGCATTATAAAATCGAGATTTTAAATAGTTCTGCGGAAAAAATCATAATAAAAACAGTAATGATCACCACCAGCCCTCCAGTGCCCACGCCCAGCTGCTTAACCTGAAAATGATAGTTGTGGGGGATGAGCAAAAACCACGTGCTCACCTTTAGCCTATATAATACAAATATTCGATAGAATTACCAGATACCGTGAATGTTAATATGTATCACAAATAACAGCTCATCGCCATCTGATAGGCGAAAGCATAACTAATTTATCTCAGCTCATCGTCGTCTCATATGAAGAAGCATTCTTATTTTATCTTAGCTCATCGCCATCTCATAAGCATAACTAATTTATCTCAGTTCATCGTCGTCTCATAGAAGGAAGCATTCTTATTTCATCTTTGCTCATCGCCATCTCATAAGCAGAAGTCTTTTCATTTAATCTTAACTCTTTGTCATTTCATAGGCGGAAGCATTCCTCAAACACTCAATAAGCATAAATATCACAGAGATTATAATGGATACCATAAAGCATAGATTTTCCCACCTGATAATTGAACTGAAAGAAAGTTGATGCTTCTATGGAAACTCGAGGCTCGACTCCTCGGAATCTATATTAATGAAGCACAACTTGAAAAATTTCTAACTCTTAACGTGGTAAACTATTTTATCAATTTGAAGAATTTCTATCTTCAGGTTCATGACTTCAACCTCTTTCTTAGATTTTGGAACTCTTGAATCGGACTTCTCCAAACTTGAAAAAATGATTTTTAAAACTTAGGCTCAAAGACACGGTATTTAATTACTTTACGAAAGTCTAATAATCTCATAAAAATACTTGATCTCATCTCCACTCTTAAGATCATATTTTATCAAACCTTAAGCATAGATTTATATCTTCAAATAAATCTAAACTAAAGAGTAAAATCGTTTCTTTACCTCCTTCGGGGATCTACACGCTTAAAGGAAGAAGGAGATTAGACTAAGGATTGCTTGCCAACTCTTGGACACAGTTCATACGCTATTGAACAGATGCGTGCGGCTTCGGCTACTGCTTGCTTGAAGGGCTAGGCTAAGGCTTAATGGGAAATTATTTTGAGGCTTAAGAGAGTAAAAGAAATTTTGATTTTTGGGTGTTTCAAAATGATGAAGGAAGAGGGGTTTATATAGTGTCTTGAAGAGACATAAGAACATGGCATGAGGGGACATAAGATCTAGATCCAATCTTGATCCAATCTAGATCTAAATCTAATAATTTTAAATGTCGAATGCTCACATGATGAAGAAGAAAGTAACATGTCTTCATGCTCTTGTAATGGCCGAATTTATGCTGCTTAGGTGGAAAAAAATTAACTTTAAATGGTTTTTCACCACGTGAGGAAAAAAATTAACTTTAGATGATTTTTTTTTTCACCAAGTAAAAATATCGAGTACAACTATGATGCTAAGGCTCGGTTTTCTTGAGATTTTTTGCCTTATATTTTCAAGTTCTAAAGNAATCAAATTAAACCGGCGAATTTCAAATAACTATCTAATTTTGAAAATTCTAAAAGTCTATCTATTCGAAAATTTCTAACTAAATTCTTCACTTAGCGGTTAACTAAACGATGATGTCTAAATAATCTCGGAGACTTAGTCGAGCTTATAAATTATTATGAAATAAAATGCATAATATTAAATAAATCGAGATGTCTTCTTAAAACTATTGGGGCTCTAGGTAGTAGGAGGAGTAACACACTAGGCTTATAAGTTAGGCCTATTTTCCCTGCACAAACGATGTGAGACAACTCACAATGATATTCTAATACGCCCCCTCACTTGTGAGACCTTCATACGAAGCCCAAGTAGGCATGCTCTGATACCATGGAAGAATTGGGGGAAACGGATGCGGTCCCAGTCACGTGAAGCGTATCATACGAGGGTGGGCCTAGATGCACCTTAGTGAGGTTTCATCCTAAAACTAATTAGTGGTAGGGGGAGTAGCATACTAGGCTTATAAGTTATACATATATATCATGTATAAGCGATTGGGGACAAGTCACAACTGATATTCTAACATACATATTTTTTTTATTCATTCTTTTTAACCTTTTTTTTTTAATTTCCTTTTGATATTTTTTTATCATCCGCCGTAACACAGTTATTTTTATTTTAGATAATGTGATATCAATAATTAATCTAAATACATTGATGCACTTTCTATAAACTTTCAATCAATTATTTATTTATATCTAATGTACTTTTATTTTTATTTTTAGTGATGGGATATCAATAATTTGGGATTAAACTTTTATGAAATTTACAATTAATTATTCATTTTCCATCTAATCTAGAATTTTATTTTATTTGAAAAATATAAATTAACGAAGATAGTTATGGATTGATCAATCCAAGAATATAATTATTTGTAAAAAAAATATATGAATTTTAAAATAGTTCTTTAAACGCATAAAAAAAAGTTCCTAACAATGATTTTTTTCCCTATTTAGTTTTCAAAATTTTGTCTTCTTTTTTACTTTTTCATTTTTCTTATTAACTATTAATGTCATTTCTTTTTAAAATATTAATAATATTTTAGTTTATTATCCATTATATTAAATTAACTTTTATTTTATAATCTCCGATTTGACTCATATTGTGTATAAAAATAAAAGATAATTATTTTTAAAGTATTAATATATTTATAAGTTAACATTCAATATAAAAAATGAACTTAAATTTTAATATTTAAACCTGGTTTACAAATAAGAAATTAGACTTAAGTTATTCATATAATGAAATATAAATAAATGTATAATAAAACGTGTTTGGAATAAATAATATGGAATTGCTACTGAACATCCCTCTATTACTACCTACCCCTCTGAACATTTTTTCCNTCTCTCTTATTCTCTCTTTCCAACTCTTGCCGCCGCTTCGTCGCACCTCCAAAAAAATCTGAAAAAATGGAAAATCCTCGCCATAACAGAGGCGAGGAAATCATGATTCGCTAGGTATGTTTTTATTTTTTTTTCAATTTGTAAATATTTTTTTTCAATTTGCTTACGGCCGCGTCGTAAGCAACTGGCACTGGTGGCTTGACGCATCTAAGCGGCCGCCATTGGTGTCCGGTCATGCCATCTCCGGCCTGCCGGCCGGCCAGAATTTAAATTTTTTTCAATATTTGAAATTATTTAAATATGTTTAAATATTTAAAAATAGAATTGGCTTATTTTTTTTATTTAGGTTACTTTAGATAAATTTTAGTTTAGTAGTTATTAATAATATGTTAATTATAAATAATTATTATATATATGTTAAATGTAACTATATTAAAATTATAATAATAATAATATTTTTTAATAATGCTAATTATTAATTGGATAATGCATATAACTTTAGTATTTTTAGGAAACGAAATAGTTGTAATATATGTGAAAATTGTTTGTTGAGTAATTATTAGTTTAAAAAATTATAATTAGTATTCTAATATAAATTGGAAAAATAGTATAATTTTTTAATTAATTAGTTTGTATAATTATATAATAAAAAAGTGGAATTATATTAATTATGTGATTACAAATAACTCTTATATTGATATTTTAATACTTTATAGGAAAATAATTACTTGTAATATTTAATAATCTATTTTAGAAAATAGTAATAATTAAAAATATTAATTATGATTAGTTAGCGTAAGTATTAGTAATAAATGTTTAACTATAATTATTTTGTAATAATTAATTAAATATATGAATTTGAAAAGGTTTATTTTTATTTATTTATTTTTTTTTGCCAAAGAAACGATTTTATTCAAAGTAGAGATAATAAAGTACATATTAATTACAGACAAAACCAAAAACTCCTATACAGAAGTACTAGGAACCTCCTTGGAATTACAAACTTAACCAAGGCAAGGAAAGCCAAAACTAAAGAGCAGAGAAGCTGCTAAGCAACAAAATACTAATGTTGAAAGATACAAATCTCAAAATGAAGCAGGCTAACTAAAATGCATGTACAAAAACCTGCAGCTATACACCAAAAGAAAGCATAGATAGTAAAAGGCCTACTGGAAGCTAAACTAAGTCCCTAGGCTTTTTGCTAACTGTCATCAGAAGAACAAAACGATGCTGGACAGAGAATCAGTGACCCGAAACTTCTGAAAATTCTAACCATTCCTTAAGCGCTCCATCCACAATAACTTTCGGCTCTATCCAACTCTTTTCGAAGACCCAAAGATTACGCCCCTTCCACAACCACCATAAGATATAAACCGTCAGTTGTTGCCGCTCAGAATAAATTTTTGAGTTTTTTCCATTACAGATCTTGATCCACCAATCTTTGATGCAATGTGTTTGTTCTTTGCAACCATCCCAATCAATAGGAGCTAATCTCCAAACAGTTGAGGCTCTAACGCAAGAAAAGAATATATGTTCAACCGTTTCAACTTCCATCCCACAAAGTTCGCAAATAAAATGGTTTTGTGCTTTCCTCAACCATAAATTCCTTGCTGTTGGTAATGCGTTATTCAAAATTCGCCACATGAAGTGTTTCAGCTTCTGCTTCACTTTGAGGCCCCAGGTTACCCTCCACATCCTTCTCATCTTCGTATTGACCACGCTACTCTCCGGAGTGTCTTTAGCAATATGTTCAAGCTTTAGAAAAGTATTGTAGGCAGACTTCACACTAAAATTCCCTTTCTGATCATAATGCCACACTACTTTATCAGAGTTCTGAGGGTTCTTCAAAGGAGTGTTGAGAATGGCCTTTATATCCTGCTCCTCAAAGATGCTTCTGATTAAGTTGGTATTCCATTCTCTCCCATTAGCCGCCATTAGCTGGTGCACCCATTCAAGATTATGATGATTTTCATATCTTCCTATCAATCTAAAGTTTGGAGAAGAAGGTATCCAAGGCTCATTCCAGATTTTAGTATTTCTTCCATCTCCGATCTTGATTCGTAATCCCTTTCTAAGCACCCTCTCGGCTGACCCCCAGCTCTTCCACAGCCAAGAACTGTTGCTTCTTATAGTGAAATTCTCCCATGGTCCTTTTTTCATGTATCTTGAGGAGATAAACTTGCTGCAAAGGCTGTTTGGATTTGACATGTTCTCCATAATTGTTTGGTTAGTAAAGCCACATTGAAAGCTGGAAGGTTTTTAAAGCCTAAACCGCCTTCTTCTTTTGGAAGAGTCGGATAATCCCACCTCAACTAGTGTATTTTATTGTTGCCATCAATATTATAGCCCCACCAGAATTTTGAAGTCAAACTTCCAATATGCTGCAGCAAAGTTTTTGAAACCAAAAAGCAAGACATGATATAAACTGGAAGAGCATTAATCACCGCATGAATCAAAACTTCTTTTCCTGCTTGGCTGAGAAAGTTAATTTTCCAATTAAGAATTCTTCTTTCAACGTCCTCACACACATAACCAAAAACCTCCTTTTTAGGCCGACCAATAACCATAGGAAGCCCTAAGTATTTAGAATTATCTTGAACTTTCATCCCACCCAAAATGTTACAGATAGTATTCTTAATACTTCCCTGAATATTTTTACTAAAGAAGCAAGAAGATTTCTCAAAATTAACTAATTGACCAAAGTTTTTATAATACACTTCCAAAAGATTCTTAACCACCAAAGCATGCTCAGGGCTTGCTTTACAAAATAGAACAGCGTCATCAGTAAAAAACAAATGGGAAATGAAAGGACCTGAGCTACAAATTTTTAAACATAAAGAACTACCCCCAACACTAGCCCTCTTGATAAGATTGGTTAGGGCATGATTGTATATAATTTCAACAGTAAATATCTCACTCAAAACTCAAATTTAACTCAACCTTAACTGAACTCTACTATCTCCAATATTATCAATATAATTAAATAATATCAACCAATCATTATTACACATCAAATCGACTTTAATTCACTATTCATTCACTCACATAATTTTAACTAACTATCACTTCCAATCATTTTTTCCTACTTTTACATCAAATCAACTTTAATTATTTTAATTTAAATATTATTTTAATATATCCACTAACAACTAACCATACTACTTTTTTAAAACTTAACTATATTAAAAAAAAAAAAACTAGTTTTTTACTGGTTGAATTCATATCCAATCACCCCCTTAAGGCTTCAGAAAGAATGATAAACAGATAAGGAGATATCGGATCTCCTTGCCTGATGCCTCTAGAAGGTCGAATATAACCAGTCGGCTGCCCCCCTACATTAAAGGAAAATGAGGTAGTACAGACACAAGTCATTACCCAATTAACAAAGATTTGCCTAAAACCCATTTTTCTCAAAACAGCATATAAAAAATGCCACTCCACCCTATCAAATGCTTTGGCCATGTCCAATTTAATTGCCATATAGGCTTGTTTTCTCCCTTTACAATTTTTAATGTAATGAACACACTCATGAGCAATTATCACATTATCTAATATTTGTTTTCCCGGGATAAAAGCTGACTGGTTCTCACTAATGCAAGAGCTGAGGGCAGGCTTCATTCGATTTGCAATGATTTTAGAAATGATTTTGTAGAGCACATTACAAAGACTTATTGGACGAAAATGACTCACAAGAAATGGATTTTTGATTTTAGGAATAAGAGAGACAAGAGTGTGATTCACATTAAAAGGCAAAGAGCAAGTGGCAAAGAAAAACTTGACTGCTTCACAAATATCAGCACTAATGACAGACCAGAAAGTTTGAAAGAAAAAAGAAGTCATACCATCCATTCTCGGGGCTTTGTTTGAACTTAGTTGAAAAAGTGCGTTTTTTATCTCCTTGACATCTACCGCTTAATGAGCTCTTGATTCATTTCCTCTGTAATTGTGCAAGGAATACCCTCTAAAATTGAGTGATCGACAAGAACTCCTAAAGTCTGGAAAAGAGTGTGAAAGTGGTTACAAAGTTCACGAACAATTTCGTCTCTATTATCACAACTCGTTCCATCTGCTTTTTGAAGTTTATCTAAGGAGTTGAAAAGTCGTCTCTGAATGGTGCAAGAGTGGAAGTATTTTGAATTTTTGTCCCCTTCCTTTAGCCATTGCTGACGGGATTTATCCTTCCAATAAATTTCCTCGTCCTTGTAGGCTTTATCCAATTGCTTTTTCAGAGCCTCCCATTTTCCCCAATCCCTCAATCCGTGGTCTGTCAACATATCTTCCATCAGTTTCTTACACTCTTTAATTGTTTTGGCACTGTTAAGTTGAAGACTTCCTTTCCACTTGAGCAATTCAATTCTGCAATTTGCGATTTTCTTTTGGATTTTTGAAAGGGGGTTTCCATCATAATGTGAACTTTCTCAATGACATTCAAAATACGATTCTCCTTCGTCCACCTTCTATCAAATGTGAATCTTTTATTTCGCTTATTTGTTTTCTTTTCAGAAACGTAAAGAAGAAGAAAATAATCTGAAGATGATCTCAGAATATGTGAGACCAAACCCTCTGTGAAAAGAAGCTGCCAATCAGGAGAACTAAAGCATCTGTCTAATCTTTCTTCAAGAAAATCTTCTCCTTTTCTCATATTACTCCATGTGAATGGATGTCCCTCAAAAGGAATTTCATTCATTGCCATGCCCCTTATAAAATTCCTGAAAGAGCTGAAACTGCCAAAAGATCGAAATCTACCACCATTCTTTTCCTCCAGCCCCGTTATATCGTTAAAATCCCCACCTATCCACCAAAATTTCCCCCACTGAGTTCTTTCTGTCTCCAAAAAGTTCCATTGAACTTGCCTTAGTAAGTTGTCTGTACTGGCCTGTACAAAAATAACCCAAGCACTTCCGGGAAACCCTTCTATGTTACAGTGGATCTGGATACAAAAGTGATTCATCCGAGTGTTAAGGATTTCTACCCTTTGAGACCAACCAACAAAAAGACCACCACTAGTTCCTTCCGGATCAAAAACAGCCCATCGATTTTGCAATTTCAAATTTTTACAAACTGTAGCTATAAAACCTTTTTTTCTTTTTGTTTCACTGAGAAAACAGAAATCTGGGGAGTAGAGTCGAAAAGACTCTTTCAGTTGGGGAATTGTAGAGGGTCCACCCAAACCTCTACAATTCCACAGCATGAACTTCATTTGAAACCCGGGTGCCATTTGAGGTTGGCACCCATCACCTTCTCTTTACTCGGATTAATGAAAACAGTAGACTTCTATTTCTTTTTTTCTCCTTCCATTAATGCCACATCCACTTCTGATTCTGAAACACTTCTTTTTGCCCCACTAAGACCTTTCTTTTCTGTTTTTTCCGTATTCTCCATCCATTCTTGCCTTCTGTTTGAGAATTCCATTTTCTTCGAGGGAAGATAATGAGATTCTGTATTGGTTGGTGAATCCTTACAAGTTAAATGCTCCTGGTGTAAAGCTAGTGATTGCTCAATTTCCATCTCTGCCTCCAAATTGACTTGCTCCATTTCATTCTTCTGTGAATTCCCCTCGGAGAGTTCAGGTTGTTCATCTGCATTCAAGTTTTTTTCTTTAATTGAAATGTCTCTCTCCCCTTCAGAAGACTCAAGATGTGCAATTTTATGAGACATTGGACTTTTCTTATTGATCTTCTCATAGAAATCTTTTTTGCCAGCCCAAGGCTTGCCTTTAGCCATATGCCATACTGCCCCTCTTTCAAGACTAATTATTAGTTTAAATTATTAGTTTATACTAATTATTAGTTTAAATTATTGATTCATACTGGTGGTAGACCTATGCGACCAGCCACCGATGCAGAGGCTGCCGAGTTTTATGGTTCTAGACCCCGACACACGAGGAGTCAACATGTAGATGCTTTCGCTCGTCGGGCCAGAGAGGAAGAGATGGTGCGTCAGATTCGCATGAGACAGACTGGTCACACTGACCAGGCTGGCGGTTTGAGATGCATCACTCCGGTACAAACTGGTCAGCAGTCCCGCTTCCAACAACAGGATACGCACTATGGTGAGTCGACAACCGAGTGGTTGTTCTCAGAGGATTATGAGGACTTTGACTCTGCATATGAGCAGGACATTCTTTTTCCTTCCCCACGACAGGCTCGTGCATGACCCGCCCCTCCACATGTTGGGGGTCATTTTGCAAGCACTAGATCCTCAGGTAAATAATTTACGTAGTTATTGTTGTTTACTGTTAGATATTTTTATTTAATAATAACATATCATTGATACAGTCAGTCGCAATATGTCGTATATATATATATATATATATATATACATATATATAGGGATTGGTTCCAATGCATCCCATTATTTAAAGTGAGGACGTGAGACTCATTCCTAGTCACAAGATTTAGATCTTGATTTAAATAATAATTCTTTATTTTTATTATTTAATTCTTTATTTTTAATTATTTAAATATTATTATGACCATTGACCGTTGATTCCGGCGTTGACCGTTGACTTCCAGCGTTGACTTCCGGCGAAAATCGTTGACTTCCGACGTTGACCGTTGACTCCGGTGTTGACTTCCAACGTTGATCGTTGACCATTTGTCTTTTGTTATGTTATTTCTTTCTTGCTAGGTTAGTTGTGTCTTGTTGCTAGGTTAGTTATTTGTAGCTGCTAGGTTAGTTGAGTTTTGTTGCTAGGTTTGTTGTCTTTTGTTGCTAGGTTATTTTTTTCTTGCTGCTAGGTTAGTTGTCTTTTGTTGCTAGGTTTTTTCTTTCTTGCTGCTAGGTTAGTTGTCTTTTGCTGCTAGGTTAGTTGTCTTTTGTTGCTAGTTTTTTTTTTTTTAAACAAACAACGCCCCGGAAGGGCGGGGGATTGGGCTGGATCCCCAACCTGTACATAGATCAAGGCCCCAAAGTCGGGAGCCCAAAATATCAACGAGCAAGATACAAAAGTCTACAGAGTCTCACTAATGAAAATCAAAAACAAAAGAAAAACAAAAAAGAAAAACCGAAAAACAAAAAGAAACAAAAACTACAATACCAAGTCGATCTTCGGGCTAACAGATGCCCGACAAATATGTCTATGCTAAAGAAAACAGAAATCCTAAGCTACCGAAAGCGGAAAGCTGGATATCCAAGCTGGTCCATCCGTACAAGAGTGCGAAGGCGGAGTGGAGCAGTGTCGGTCTGGAATGTATGTGTGCCTGGTGTGGTGGCGCCAAGGCTGGCCAGGTAATCAGCCGGTCTGTTCCCCTCACGGAAAATGTGTGTGACTCTGTGGTGGACTGACTGAAGTAGATCTCTAATGCGCAGAAGCGGGTGCTGAATCTGCCACGATCTCTGATGGCCCGAAGTCAGGAGGGTGGCGACAGCCGCAGCATCTAGCTCGATCCATATATGACTAGAGAGGTGGACAGCAATCTGAAGGCCAATCTGTAGTGCCTGAATCTCTGCATCGTAGCTCGAGGATGCCTGAATGGACGCGTGGAAAGCGGTGATGAGGGCACCCCTATGGTCCCGAATCAAGCCTCCTACTCCGGCAAGTCCAGTGTGGCGATCAAAGGAGCCATCAGTGTTCAGCTCGACCCACGGAGAGTCAGGTCGAAGCCAAACAACAGCTCTGGCCCGTGGAGGTCGAACAGGCGGTGGTGGGGCCACCATGTAGCGATCCGGTGGCGTGCAGCTTGTCCAGTCTCGGGCGTGAGCCTGCCTAATGCGATGAGGAGTGAAATGTGTCTCTCTACCTGTAAAACAATGTGAGAAAACATAAAAGTAATATCCCTATGCTTCGCACTATTCCTTTCTGTCCAGGTGAACCAAAGGATCAGACAAGGAATGAGGAAGTCCACGTGTCTAAGGTGTGTGCTCTGTGAGAAAAAACTCAGGAGTTCAAAAAAACTGTATGTGGTGGGTAGGGATATATGAGTCCAAGTGGCAAAATGCTCCCACACTCTCCTCACAATCTCACTCTCTAGAAAAAGGTGGGTAAAGGTCTCAGTCTCATGGCGTCCAGTCTCAGAACAACACACACACCGAGAGGGGAAAGGGATCCCTCTCGCGTGTAGCACAGTATCGACGGGTATCCGGCGCAAGAGGAGGCGCCAAAGGAACACCGAAATAGTAGGCGTGAAAAAGTCACTCCAGATAGCCCCGAAGAGGAGATTAGGCCGATCCCTCAGCCTTATCTGCTCCCAAGCCGAGGTAGTAGAAAACACACCTGATGATGTAAGTCTCCACCTCATGCTATCTGAACCGTCCCCCGAGATAGGGATCTGCTGGATCTGATCTAAAAACTGCTCGCTAGAACCCGCACCAGCCCCCAACTCCCTATCAAGCTTCCCCCTATCCCACGACCCGTCCGACCATAGGTCGCTCACGAGCAAGTAGGGGGAATGCGACACCTGCCTATCCCTAGACAACGGCCTATCACCTACCCACCACTCATCCCAAACACTGACATCGCCCCCGCCCAAAACCCAAAAGATGTGATCCTGGGCTCGCCTCCCGACCCTAGTGAGGCGCCGCCACTGTCTGCTATCATGATCAACAGCAGTGACCCAACAAGGNT